CACACACACACACACACACACACACACTAAATAAATGTTAAAAAAAATTAAAAAAAAAACCAACCATATGCCACTGCACTCATCTTGTTTTCTTTTCTTTCCCCTCCTCTCCTCTTCTCCCATCTCCTCTCTTTTTCTCCCCTCTCCTCTGCTCCCCTTTCCTTCCCTCCCCTCCCCTCTGCTCCCCTCCCCTCCCCCTTCTCTCCTTTCCTTCATTGTTTTAAATAAACTTTATATTTTAGAGCCTCTTTAGAGAAAAATCACAATCTTAGTATAGAGAATTTCCATAAACCTCACACTTACTTCTTTTAACTTTATTTATTTTTATTTATTTATTTATTTTGCAGTACTAGGGATTGAATTTAGGACCTTGCACTTGCAAGGCAAGCACTTATCCTAGTGAGCTGTCTCCCTAGCTCTTACTTCTCATTATTAACAAACTATTACTCAAGCAGTAAGACAATATGTTTGTTACACCTAATGAACCAACTGTGTAGTACTGGGGATTGATCCAAGGGCCCAGAACATGCTGAGCACAAGCTTTAATATTAATGCACACCCCCAGCGCCAATGAACCAATGATTAACAATGAAATTCCACTCTTTATTCAGCTTTCTTTAGTTTTTCCCCCAAAATTGTTGTTCCAGAATAACCCAGTCTAGTCTATGTGCCATAAGATAGAAGAAAATCTAAGGAGGCCCAGAGTTCAGCTTCTTGGAGGACATCCTGATGGAACTGTGGTCCTGAGTAACCAAAAGACCAGCTGGATCCCCACAGTTTGTATGGGTAGGAGGGGCAAGTGGTGTGTTTATGACAAAATTAACTTCATGCAAACTGTAATGTACCCAGTTTATCTTTTTCATTTATTTTCTGGGGCAGGGTGTCTCTTTCTAGTTCACACTGGCTTTGAAGTCCCTGTATAGCCCAGACTGCCTCAACTTCCCGAGTGCTGGAATTACAGGTATGCATCATCATGCCCAGCTATACTGCATTTATTTATTTATTTATTTATTTATTTATTTATTTTAGGTACCAGGGATCGAACTCAGGACCTTACGCTTGGCAGGCAGGTGCCTATGCCGCTGAGCTCTCTCCCTGGCCCTACTGCATTTATTTTAAGCTATTATTATTATTATTACCATGTATGTTCTCTGTTCTACTCCTTTCAATATTTTATACATATTTGTTTTATTTTATTTTGAACAGTAAAAACAAAAGAAAAAACAAATAGAAAAAATAGACAAACAGGATAACATACAATAATATATACGTTGCAGATTTTCAGAACAGGAATAGCTAGTGAACAACAGTTCTTTTTTTTTTTTTTTTTTTTTTTTTTAAGACAAGTGTCGGTGTTCCCTTTATTTTGTTGATTTTTAAAAATTTTGGCTTTGTAAAATGGTCACATTCTTATATT